TTTGCCACTCACTGTCTGCCTTTCTCTCTCCTGGGAGTGTACTCTGACTTTTGTAGGATTTGCTATAATATTACAGAGAATTTGTGTTAAAACAATCCCTTATAATTCAGATTATTTTAAATACTAAATTTGAATTAATGTCAATATAATTTGCTGTTAAATTTGTTTGCGTAGTTTGGCTAGTATCTATAAATTTTTTCAGTGCATACAATATGGAATATCAAACACATAGATCTTTTCTGTCAATTTTAATGGTAGTTGTGTGTGTGGAACCCCCTCAAGGTTTACAAAGTGTATAAAGAACTTTTTTCATTATATTTCAAAGGCTATTGGTCTAGAGGTGATTTGTATTGACACGTTCCTGAAGACTGCTAGGATGTTGGTAATCCTTAATGTATTTGAGCATTCTGCCATACCCCATGGGGTTTTTTAAACACTTCTCCTTTGGGTGCTGAAAATCTGGTGACAAGATCACTCTGAGAGAGCATCTAGATACTGTGGTTTTTTTATAAAGTGTTGTTCTAATAGAAATCTTTGCTTTGGAAGCAAGTGTCAGCCCTTTGTTTATAGATCTTTTTGCAAATGCACAGAAATCTCCTAATCTCCTATTAGGATTTATTTTCACTGGAATATAAGGAACAAAAATGGCTGCCACTAACTTGATTTTAGGGCAGTGACAGCAAGGATGTAACATAATTTGCATCTTACTTACAGGCTCCAGTTTCAACCATTCATCCTTCCATCTGAGTGCTACTGTTTTCTAGGGGTTGGCCACCTGAAAAAATTGGGGCCAAGGCCTTTCCTAAGGTTTTCATTGTGGATTTTGGTGTCATAGTGTTGCTTCCTAAATTCCCAGTCCAAGCTCATGCCATGCTATCTGTCAGGACAACACCTAGGCACATATCTTTCCCTTCTTTCACCCTTGTTGGTAGAGGAAACCTGAGTGTTTGAACTGGGAGAGTACTTCAAGGTATTCCTTTTATCCTTGAATTGGTGGATGGATGGAGTAGGACCTAAATCTATCATAGAGCAATCTTGCCCTACAAAACAGGCAGCATTATCTTGGTGTAACTGAAGAGCAGCTGTAAAGGCATCCATATCAATCTCCTTGGGCAGAGGAGAGGTTGGGACATATCCTCACACTAAAAGTTTTAAAGCCAATAATAAAGGCATTAATTACACCATCAAATTTTATAACCATTCCTAAGACCTTTATCCTCTCTGACATCTAATGAGAGAGTACGTGCTGTCTGGGGCCATGATTAGCCCCAGAAAAAAAGGAGAGATTAGAGTATTAGACGTTACTGAGCAGGTGGATGATTACACAGGATCTTAAGCCAAGAAATAAATATTCAAAGTACGTCGCATTTGGAAAATAAAAAAAAATATTTAAATAAATCTTTAAATACCTGTGGAGAATAACAAGGATCTAACTTTATGGTGTGTTAGCATACATACCAGATGATGAAATAAAGAATGTGTAAGGCTTTCACATCTTTTCTCAGTTTAACAAAGCTCACTTGGTCAAAAGACAGTGGGGCACAGGAATCCTGTGCATATATATCCAACACAGGAAACTGCAGGTGACTCATCTACATTGCTGGTAATCCAGCATTATTCATACTGTGTTCTCTTGTATTTATTGGTGCCCCAGCTGTTGGTATTTTTAGGAATACAGAAATAATGAGTAGTGTAAGGTTTTGTTTTGCTCACTTTCTAAAGTTTGCATACAAAAGAGATGGAAATGTTGATCAAGCCATTTACAGAACTGGAAAAATGACAGGTTTAGTTTGTCAGCTCTTTACTACACTAGGAAATTATAAGTATTTATTCTATATTTTTGCAAAAATGCCAACCAAAAATCAATGTTACCTGTACTCTGTAGTTTGATATTTGTTTGGTTTTTATGTGATTGAGTTTGTTTGTTGCACCCAGAGCCAGGTTTGTGGGGTTTTTTTGGCATTAGCCACTTTCCTAACCATTAGCCTAAGGATGCATTTTTAGAGTCTCAACTGCCCCCACCTCTCCCCTCCCACTTCCCTCACATTCTTTGTTACAAGAAAGACACTTGACCATTTCGAGCAAGGATGAATGCAGGGCCCTTTAGAGAGAGGGCTGAACCAAGAACTATAATCTGTCTCAGTAGGTGGTTGGACATGATGAAAACAAGTTTCTTGCCTCTGAAAAGAAATCTTAAAATGACTCTAAGTATGGCATTATTAAGGTATGCTATTTGTGTACTCTTCCACTGATTTCTGTTTGCAACTTCTCATCTTCTTCCCTGCAGACTCTGCCTGGAAGTGGATAAAGTCTCCTCCTGCTTGTAATGTTTTCAAGATTGATTACACCCCCACTGATACCTGGGTATGTGCAAACTTGTGACTGCTAGATTGTGTCACAGTGAGTTAAATAACACTAAACCCACAACAACTACATTAGACAATATTCCTGTTACTGGCTGAGTCAGGCAGCAAAGAATTCTGAAAATCCTGGAGCAGGAGCCACAAGCATAACATCACAGATCACACTTGTAACTCTGGATGTGGAGACCAGAACATGTATTCTAGAATCATGTGTACATCAGCAGAGAAACAGATTGCTGCTTACAAGTGGCATATGAGTCTCATGTCATGAGACTTCAGTGCTAAAAGTTCAATCTTCAGATTTTATTCTTCTTTCACCAATCTTGTCTGTTTTGCCTTTTTTCCAAACACATGTCCCTGATGTTGTTTTCTCTCTTTTCCTTCTGCTTTCTGCAGCTCTCTTTTCTTCAGCAGGTCTGCCAGTAAGTATATACAGTGCCCTTTGTCTCTTCCAGCAGCTCTTCTTTGCCACCTTGACAGTTGACTGTTATCAATTAGTCACATGCAAATTACTCAAGTGGGACACTTTATTTTTTTTCCAGAAACAGCCAGGTTTGTCATATTCAAAAGTACTCTTTTGGTACCTCAGTTAGGAATCACACTGTATTAGAAGGCTTCTAATACAGGCTGACCATCTGAAGGCTTCTAACCAGGCAATGGCCACACAGATACAGCTCATGTTGCTCCTATGTTAGTATTTATTTGCACAATATGAAATTTGCCTACACTTTCACATTAGGTGTAATATTTATCATTGGACGCAACATAGAAGTGATGGAAAAGATGAAATAAATAATGCTGAATTTGTCTCACAATTCCATATCTGAAAGTAATGCAAACACCTAATAACCCTTTAGTAGCTGGTCTAATGCTTTTAAATCCTTGACAGGTCTTGCTTTGATTGATTTTCTAACACTGGCTTAGTTGTATATGCTTTGAAGAAATACTGGGGCTAAAGCACTCTTCATATTAGTCAGAAGGTATTTCTTGCCGGAGATTTAAAATTTTAAATAGAAAATAAAAGTGAAAAAATGTTAAGACTGGACAGCAGAGCAACTAAAAGCTACAGCTGGGCTGACACACACAGAGGAAAATCCTGTCAGGTTAAAAACAGAAACATGTTCCGCCCATGGATTAACTTTATATCTAATCCACTCATGTTCTGCCACATGGCACACTACCTACACACACAAACTCTGTGAGGAAGAGAACAGGGGTACAAATCTTCGGTAAACCTTACTTTCTTTCCATTCATTTCTATAATTCTGAAGTTAAACACACTTAGAAGCGCCCAAACATTTTCCAAACTCTAGTATCAGTTATCTGCACGGTCATGTTTCTAAAGATTTGCAAGTCAGTTTATTCACTCTCAGAATTATCCCTTCTGACTTCAGTATGCAGCATATTATGCTGAAAAACTTCTAAAGTCTGCATCTGTTCAGTGCTATGGATTTACATATTGGCTTTCTCTCTAAAATGACTTACATATGTATCATTCATGAGAAACAAGCTCCTTCTTTTGGGAGTCTTCTGAATGGTGCTTCCCACTGTACATGTACTTTCAGTACTGAAACTTAATTGAAAATGTCAAAACTTGCAATAAATGTTAAGATATTTGGTTAGATCAACAGGGGACTGATTCTTCAGAGGCATTATCTGTTGAGTGAGATTAAGGCAAATGCAACATTTAGCACTCCTATGCAAACAGCAATTTAGTCTTCCTCTTCTGAACAAACTGCAGTTGAAATCCAATCATTGGATTTCATATTTAAGACTAAGTTGCCTTCTCACAATTTTTCTGTTACAACTTTATTATGATTAAAGACATAAAGAGTAAATTGAAGCCACTACTACAGTTTGTTTGTTGCTTTTAATTACCACTACCCATAAAGTCCCACTTTGGCCACCAGCAGCTGAGGGAGAAAGAAGGAAATGCAGAAAAGTGTGTCAGTGGCATTTTCCTTTCAGCACAGCCAGACCGTGAATAGGTCATTAGTGGCAGTGAGACTAGCCTGAAGCTTTTGTAGAAAACATTGCCTGTAGCACCCCTAGAAGGAAAAGGGGTGAATCCAACATTAGGGATTGTACCTCTGCCTCCCGTTGACTTGGGCAGCTTCTAAGTGAGAGCTTTAAGAGGGAATGAGGTGCAGAGGTGCAGTCCAACCATTCTTCTTTGCCAGGAGTTTATCGGTAAAGACTGCTTTAAACCTACACTGATTTATGCCGGATAGGGTAACTTTAAAGTTCTTCAGTGCTTATGAGAGGTCAGACAGCAGTCTAAATTAGAGTCAGCATTTCATAAAATACAACAGGTAACAGGCACCCTGAAAGCATTACATTCAAATAAATGTTTTCCTTCTACTTGTAGGATTTTGCAGGAATGTTGCACCATTGCTCTAATCCTCCTTATGGCTTCTTGGTTTTTAAAAAAGAGACAGTGTATCTAATTACTTGATTAATGAAAAACGTACATACAAACTGAAAGTGATGAAATTGCAAAAAAACATAAGATACAAGAGGTCTTGTAAGATAAATATTAAACTTACAATTAGAGAGTTGCTGACTTCATTTTAATTACAATGATTAATGAAACAATAGAATTCACATAGATATGAAGGCAAGTTCTAATACTTCTTTTCAAAAGTCATCTAGAATTGGGTAAATGAAGTTGTCTTTGAACAAGCAATATGCCAAAATCTGTCCTCCACAAATCATTGAAATTACTCCAGAACCTGAAAGAAACGATATGGTTGTTTTGAATTAATTTTTATAGTGGAATACAAACTTTATGATAAAACTTTAAACTGACATTTTACTTAAACATTTTACACAAGGCTTTAACTACTTACAAAGATATCAGCCTCCACAACTGCTAATGCAAAATCTCTTGTAGGACAGGGAATTTATCTCTCCCCATCACTTAGGAATTTATTGCAGTGGTTCATCCTTGTTATCCACCCCTAACTACTGTTTTTCAAGAGCATCTACTTTTCATGTAAAGATCTATGCTTCTAGTTTTACAGAAAATTAAACATTCAGAAATGTAGTTTTGCCATTCACTTTGAGGAAATGTGGTGACTGAAATTCATCTCATCTATTGTAAGTACTTGTACATGTTTATAAATCTTGCCTCTGAAGGTACCTGGTTTTTTTATTGATTATAAAGGGTATCAAGAAAGGCTATGACTTTGGACAGCTGTCTTTCTGACACCTGAACTGAGATACATTTCAACTCATTACAGGTTAAATAAATCATGGTTAAGTCCTGACTAATTGAGATTAGTCAGGACTTAATCATGACTTATTTCAAGACATGTGCCTGCTGTTTGTTTGCAAGACTAGTGTAAGATGAGTATATTCTGGCCTTAAAAGAGAGGATTTTTCTAAGGTGAGGAAAATCCTAGTACAGCATTATTTACCAGTGACATTAAAAGAAGCATGAACAAAATGCCTGTACTTCTTCTTTAAATGTTGACAATTCTCAGATTATTGAGGCAATAGATATTTAATAGAAACAGTTAGTATTATAAACACTAACATTCTACACAGATTTTAGCAACTTAAATTTTAAAGAATTAAATTATACCTAATGCCAGCCACCAGTGTAACATCAGGGGGAATTCAGACATAACTGCAAGAGGAAAAGCAGAAACATAAATTTTAAACCAATAAGAATGGGCACAAGTAAGAAATGCAGTATGCTATCAGGGGTCTCTTTAGTTATGCTTCATAGGTTATGTTTTTTACATGTATTGAAATGACAAATGCTTTAGGTCCTGACCAGCACCTGCCCTGGCCACACCCAAGCTGACCCACACCCCCACTGTGGGTAACTGCAGGGCCATTCTCTGACCCCACATTGCCTCCCCCAAAGCAAGCTGACAGGGGTATTGCAGGGGGCTGGGAAGCACACTGCATGTGCTGACAGCCCAGGGCCAGCCAGCAGAGGTTTGGTTGGCCACCTGAAGGAAACAATGATAAATCCGGGGCTGTTGGGACATCAAGATGCATCATCCGATAGAATGACAGAAGCTAACTCCCTGTAAAAATTATGTACAAACAGGGGGGGTTTTGGTAGTTTTTGCAAATTCCTTGATTTCAATACAAAAATTATTAATGAGGAATAACAGTAGTTTAAATCCCAGAAAACCGAATTTAGTAAATGAGAAATTATGCTTAATTTTTTTAGATAGAGTCTCTGTTGGTCTCTGGTTTAATTTGTTAGGGAACTGGGGAATCTCCCATCTGTATGAAGTGCTAAAAGACAAATGGACAAATCAATAGAAAATGGAAGATTAATCTTATACAGTAGGGAGGGCGTCCTAATTTGTCAAAAATATTTTCCTTTCTCTGCATTTTAGAATAAACATATTAACCTCATTGTTATAAGAGAAAAGAATCCCCAGATAGGGTCTGGCAAGGATGGAGTTAAAATATATTTCCTAATTAGCCATAGAAGCATTCTGCTAAACAGCATGAGAAGAGGGAGCAGATTACTAGGTGTTAGCAAAAAGAGATGATGGGTCTCATTTACAGCAGCTAATTATTTTCTTTTTCTTTCCTTTAAGGCGTAGATTTTCGCGGGGGAAAAAGGTTTCTGTGGTAAAATGCTTGATTTTTCTTATTGAGATTTAGTTCAAATGATCTGACTAAAACCTTTGCACTGACTTTGCTGAAGAAAAACTCCGTTTTTACTCTGAAGTTGAGATAAAGTGTTAATGAGTAGTTCTTAAAATATCCAGACATGAACAACTGTTAATGTCTTGTTTTGAAAAAAAAAAAAAAAAAAAACGCATTTTCCAGATGCAGAAATTGTATCTAGCCTGTATCTGTTTGGTACAAATTGTTAGAATATGAACTAACTCCTGATTTTTCATAAGAATATAACGGTTTAAAAATCTGCAACAGATCTACAATTAAGTTTAAAATGGGAGGATTTAAATGGAGGTATGAGTCCAATGGATGGAAAATAGAGATACACATTTATTTAGCTTTAGGGAAAATTAAGTTAATCCAGTAATACATTGGATGAATCCTAGTGGATTTGTCCTTCAACTTGTGATACTATGTGATACTATTTAGCAGTAAACCTACTTACCAGCCGAAGTTATGATGATATGAATAATAGTAACTGTTACAGCATAGTCCCAAACCCATTCTTCCACAACCAAAGCAAACAGCAGACCACAAAGAAAGAAAGTTATTTCCAAGGATATCACAAGAACTGTAAAAGAAAAAAGGATATTTTCACCAAACACAGTTTTGAAAGACATCTCACATTCCAAACAATATCAATAAGGAGATAAAATATCTGAGATAGTTATGCATTTTCATGGATGGGCAGAAAGAAATACTAATTAGTGGTATGAAATAGCTGCTGTCTTTGGCATATAAACACATTGCATCAAACTAACTAATAAAATTTTGGGGGGGGGGGGGCTAGGAGCTAGGAGGGGGAATCATGTTGAGACACAGTAATTACATTTGGCCCTGCAAAGTAATTCTAATGGAATATGCTTTAATTTTTTTTCCATTGGCATAACATAAATGTTCTTTCTTCATCTGAAATTGGTATTAACACTGTGCAAATATCCATACATTTTTATTTCTCTTTTAAGCTATGAACCAATTTACTTTTGAGCTTTATGTATTTTACTGACAATTATGAGGTTTGCCTTTGTAAAATAGATTATAAATCTGGTAAAATTTTATGTATGCATGTAATTCTTTAGGAATTGCTGTTTAGGAAAAAGGATATATTTTGAGAGCTTCAGAAAAATTGCAGAAATTTGTATTAGGACATAGAATGATACTATTACAATAAAATTCTGATATTTCAATGCCCACTGTATTCAAGCATTACCAAAGCAAAATTGCCATTAGTTGAATGTGACCCATTTCTCTGATCTGAATCCAGTGATTCAAATGGAATTTGCTGCATTGCTACAGTATGAAAATGAAATTAAACTACTTTGTGAAGGAACTTGATGGAGAATAGGCAATTGTTCTGCAATGAAAATGAAGCATCCTGGCAAAGCAGAGATTTTCTTCTGATGATGCAAGATCAGAAGAACTCAACAAAAAGCCTAAAAATCACTTGGAAGTTAAGTAGCAGTACAGAAATGAGAAGTGCTTGCAAGATGCATCAACATTTAATTGCAGTGTAGTTAAAACACAGAAATTATTGGTATAACTAAAACAGCTTTAAAATACTATCCTTTGGAAAAGTTTGCATCCATATGCAATATATTTTCTTGAGTGAGGAGAAAAAAAATAATAAAGAAACTTCAGTTACCTAAATAATATGGGTTAATCCATGAGGGATTTGTTTTAAAATCAAAAGGTGCCAAACCATCCAACATTTTAATCCTGTGGAAAGAAAATGAATAATTTTAAACAGAGAGTTTTAGTATTTAGAATTTAGATTACATGACATATTATGAGTGTTTTTAAATAGGATAAATAGAATACTCTGGGTTTTTGCAAGCTAAGTCCCATTCTGAGTTGTGGTTTTGCCCTTGCTCACTTCTGTTTAAGATATTTGGTGTTATGCATGATAATCAATAACTTCCTAGGGGGATATAATTTGTCTTTTTCATTGACTATAAAGTCTTTATTTTCCTTTTTTTTTTCATATAATCTTTTCTCTTACATTCATTAATTTACATGGTGTAACTGCAAGGACGAATGTTAAAACCAATATTTTATATTAGTTTTGAGTGTCCACTTGACAATTTGAAAGAAGGTTCAGGTATAACAATTTAACTGAATTTGAAAAATTATGTTACTCAATCTGGATGCTTCCTTTAAATAGGCATAACCCATGAGTTGCAGTATGCCAGCATATCAGGCTAAAGACAGAGAAATCTTACCTGAATACTGCAAAGCACACAGAGAGGACCACATAGTACACAGTGTAGAAAATTATTATGCATATCAACAGGTTCACCAGAACAACCTGCAAAAGGGCATAAAACAGTAAAACCTAAAGTCATGTTAACGTCAGGCATTCTTAGAAAATAATTCTAGATTTCTATCAAGCATAATGTGAAAAAAAAATTTGTAAAATAAAATATTTAGGCAGAATTTTTGCTGTTGCTGATTACATAAATGTACTAAAAGCTCTTTGGTACATTTCAGCTCCTAATGTGGCTATAATGCATGGTGGTTTTTTCTATCATATATTGTTGTATACCTACTATATAAACAATTTACAAGTGTTCCTAAAAGTAGAAGGACATTTCTTGATGGCTATTAAGAAATTAAGAAGGTACAGAGAAGAGACTCAAAAGGTATAGCTAGAAATGTTTGGGGTTTTTCTTCATTAGGGCTACAGCCCTAAAGAGGTCAATCTGTTTAGCTCCAAGGGATGATTTGATTATGATGGATAAGTACCTTCACAGAAAATACCAGGCACTTAAGGGTCTTTAATCTATCAGAAAAGACACAAGAAGTAAACAGCTACAAGTTCTAGCTAGACAAATTCAAAAGATGCAGGAAGGACATTTTGGCTTGTAAAGGGAGCAAACTCCCTCTGTAAATAAGACATCTTACTAAGCAGTAGTAGAGGCTTCTGATGATGAAACTTCAACTCTATTTGTTTCTGACCTTAGTTCTTTGAGTGGTTGTATGGTAGGTAATGTATTTACAGAAGCATCCAACATTGACAGAAGTGGGAACACTGTGAATATATCAAACTACCTATTTTTATATTGCTAAATGTTGTAAAGTGTTAAATATTGAATACTTCATCTATCTCCCACAAGAAGAGAGACCAAAGCACTTTAGTTTCTAATGCAACAAGAGATTAACCCATCATGCCTGCAGAAACTGATGTTTGTCAATAAATAAAAGTTCAGGACAGTCTTAAATTCTTTTCCCCCTACATCAAAACAAAGCCAAGCAAAAACTGAGAACTATTAACCTCTTCAGCCACATTGATTTGTGGGCTAAATACAGCTCCTTTGCACTGTCTATAGTCTAATTCGAAATGAAAATTTGCCAAATAACACATTTGATCTCTTCCTTTCCCCAGTGCACACCATCACTGTGGTAATGGCAATCAACTACATTGTCACATGTAAGTTTGGCAGCCATGCTGCCTCCTACTCCCCTGAGCATAACTTCAAGCATTGGAAGTTTAACGTCTGGCACATTTTTGGTGGGAATCTTTTCTGTTTCATTGCTCTGAGAAGCTGCACTTTTCCTGTGATTCACCTTTATTCATTGCCCCTCCTCTTGCCACGGCCTCTGTGAAGCCCTTTCTGCCTTGGATGGAGATTGGTACAGTAATAAAAGTGGAGAGAGAGGACTGAAGGGAAAATCACAGAGCTGAAGGAAGGCTGTGAGGCAATGACCTATTGACCTGTAATTACAGTAGGTGAGTTCCCAGCCTTGAAGTCAGAGAGCAACTTTCTTTGGCCTCAAAGACACAGGATTTTTCTGTACCCAGAATATTCCTAGTCTCTGTCTTAGGGATGCAGTGAGGCATTAGGTATAGTATGCTTTGTTCACTTGAGTAAGCCAAGGAAATGCACACAACACAAAAATAAAGACACTGAAATTTTTCCAGTTTTATCACATCCTGCCTAATTTTTTTTTTTTTTGACGTTGCCACAGAAATTTGAACATACTTTTTTTAAATCTGAGAGTACTTTTTATTTTCAATCTATTTTCCCCTTTCTAGATCTTCTGGTATTTCAAAGCAAAATACTCACAAGTTAAAATCTACAGGATTACTCATTATATGTCAAAACAACTTAAAAGAAGAATCTTAGGAAATCACTGATGACATCAAATGTATAATTTTATGATACTTCCAAGAATTTTATCTCATAAATGGAACAACATCACGTATTTTTATAACATGTACTTTGCAGTAGTTGTTGCCAGCACTACTTTTTAATTTTAGGGGTTTTTTTAGGAAGAGAACACTGAAGAACAGTCAGTAAGAATGAAAGCAGCAGCTCATTCCAGCCCCACAGCAGTTGTCTAATTCTCTAATACTATCTGGTGACAAATACAACACCAAATAAACTCGATTCCCTTTACCTTGGTTTCAGCAATTTTGACCTTGAGAGCCATGGACACATGATGAGTGAGAGGAAGTGATCTTGCTATATTCCATATGCCAGCTTTAGAAGGAGGAAGCAGCTGGTTTTCACCCCAAAAAACATTCTAACGGGTAAGTGCAGGACAGGATGGGGTGAGGTGAGTTGATTGGATTAAACAGAATTGAGACAGAAGACATCTGTGCACTAAATGTAAGCCGCTAAAGAGCAAAGAGAAAATCCTGCTTGCTCATGCAATGTTCGTACTTCTGTAGCTACAGTGAGCCAAAGCATTTCTAAAACATAACTTGGCTATTTAGACACAACATTATTATTATTTTGCCCCTTTTAATTGCTTTTTTTTTCAGCATTCATATGATCAAAATTCCTTGGGGTTATTATAACTTCCTATTTTTAATTATCTTTTACATTTTCTAGCATTAATTCTATTGATTATAGATGTGGAGTAGTACATTCTTCACAATGTTATTTGTTAACATTTTTCTTCTGGCTATCATTTTATTACATCAAGTATGATTCACATTAAATTAGGTATAATTAATTTAAGAAATTCCAGACTTGTGTTATGACTCTTTTTTTCCTGAACCGTATTTTGTTCCTTCAGTAGAATGAAATTTAATGTGCTTTAGAGCACATCCAGCTTCTAGTGAGCAACTCCTTAATGGATTCAAATTTGACTTTTTACAGGCACATTATGATTCAGTGTGCTGTATTATTTGGAAAAAAAAAGATGCTTCTGAAACTGAACCAAGAATGAACTTCTTCTTTTTCTGCTGACACTAACATAATATGTGCAAATTTCATTAGGGTTTTTTATGCCTTTTTAGTCATACAAAATAAATGTTATCTGCTCTAAAATGCAGTATGCACTCGGCAAACAAGAGCTTTCACTCGTAGATTTGATCGCTCCAGATTGTGAATACTGCCAGGGAAATTACTGGTAGTATTGTGTGAAATTCCTTCATGTGCAAAAATACTAGCATGAAAATCTGTACATCAGTAAAGTCCTATTTTCCGGACTGAATTGATGACAAAGGAACATACTGAAACAAAATAAAAAAGCCTAAACTATGTTGCTTAAACTGATGCAATTTTCAGGGGTAGCAAATAAATGAAGAAATATTTGCTTTAATAATTAAAAAAGTATTTGGAAAAGAACAAAATTATTTATTCAAAGAGCACATTATCTACCCCAAAAATCAGCTGAAAACAGCCGTGACCTAAAATTAATCTGCAGAAATTTTTCAGTAGCTATAATTAGCAAGATAACTGAAAAAGTAGTGGGTTGCATTAATCTCATAACTATTAAACATAACAAGAGTTTACATTCACCGACTTCTTCATGAAGGATGGATTTAACCAAAGATTGATGATAGAAACAAAATCAACAAGTTTGACTGAGATGTAATTGAAGCTGTAGGCATGGATTTGTTGGGCCAACTCAGAGGTTCTTCCCATTCCTATGGCACAGTTGAAAACTTTAAATACTCTGAGAGAACACAGTGCAACATTTCTGTCACACCTTTGCTTCAAGATTGTAAACACTTTAATTGTGGTAGCCCAATGAACAGGAGTAAATCAAACTTGGAAGGGGCAGAAAGTGTGTTTGACCCAAAATATTAAGTCACTGAATAGTGAATGTTAACTATAAAGATGATGCTATTAGCTACATGTTGAGATAATGGAATAATGACTTTTCATAGTTTTTATTTTCTTAAAATTTACTGGATCTGCTGCAGGAAAAAAGATGATAACTCCTATTCAGCAGAGAGAGAAAAAGAGAATAAAGAAAAGTTTTAATGGAAGTTAAAATAAATTATCTAATCTGGTTTGAACAAGCCCTACTTTTAAGCACATACTTTTTTTTTGTCATTACTTTATTGAATTTTATTAGGTCTGTGAGGAAAAATAGTACTGCATTACTTTTGAACCCATGGAGTTTGTGCTAATTTGCTTTGTGGAAACAGAGAGGAAACAGTTCCTTACATAGGATATCAATACCTGACCCTCACATGCTTGACAATAGTTAGTAAAGACTATTTTTTGACATTGGCTGTACACATATACTCTCTTTGTAGTGATATGTAATGTACAGTATCCAAGATAGATCTGAAAAACCATAACAGCAGAAAATGGCAGAATGGAGAACACATTTAGAAAGTAAAATTAAGGATACTTCTATAGGGCAGTAATTCTTCCCAAGAATATGATAATGGCAACTAATAGTACCAAGGCAATACCTAGTTCCTATAATCTGTACCAAAGTCAAATATAATAATGAACTGTAAGAAAATTTTATAAAGCTTACGGCTAAGTTTGCTGCCTAAGCTTATTATTTAGGATTTGTTTTTCTGGATTTTGGCTTTTTTTAGGAATGTTACCATTTACACCCACAATTTGTGATGCTGTCAAATAGTATTGCAAAAATAATTAACAACAATTTGAATAACTGTATCATACAGCAATATTACAGGAATATCTCATGGAAAAGAACAGGTAATTTGTGTTACTGCACTACAGCTCTGTGCCTTAAAAAGTAAGGCGAGACCAGGAACCACATTTCTTAGGTAATTCAAAAACATGAAAAATGTTTTAAAATTAGAAAAATTAATACATGACAAGTTTTAGATTAGTTTATTTATATTATATTTTAGGTTTATTATCCTGAAAACTTTACAGAAATAGAGAACTCAACCAAACAGATGCAGACTGGATTGTGTGGTAAGAAATTTTTAGTTTACTGGAGGATGGCATCAAAACATGTGTACTCTGTCTCCATCTGCTGATAGGGAAGAACTACACTTGTGTGTCAGGACAGAAGAGCTGGGAAAAATAAATGGTGGCCACTGTTTTTGTGGCTGGAAGTGATTGGCAGAATCTGTCAATGCAGGGAAGGGAACTAACATTTCTTTGCTTGGGACGTGTCATGGCTAAAGATAGTTTAGTTGTGTCCTATGAAGGACAGGCCCTACAGCTTGGCACTGGTCACATATGCCTTGTACAGCCTCAGTATGACAGCTTAAACCCCAATATGGGAGGAGAGAATCCTGTGAGGTCTAGACTCTGCCACCATGAAGATTAAAGCGATTAGATTCTTTCCTTCTTCAACCTCTGTTGCAGATGGATACATTTTAAGGGCTGAGAAATATGAGAATTAGGTGTAATCAGGAATGTTCTTTGAATGTATCAATCTACTATTACTTTCAGATTTTGTTGAATTGCTTTTAAAAATGCCCCTATTCCTTGTTATATTGTCTAAAAAAATTACAATATAATTGATTAAATAAGAGGTGAATTTTAGGAACTTTCAGCTCCTGAAAACTTCTCCTTGAATCTCTGTGTTAAATCTTACAAATTCTAAAATGTCCATAACACCAAAAGAATTAAAGTCAAAAACTGCTTTAATTTTTTTTTGATCAGCAAACTGAAAATGAATTGGATTCTTTTCAGAAATAATTAACCCCAATGAGCTACTTGTATCCAAGGAGTTGACTTAATTAATAGCAAAAATAGTAAACATCTTTTGTTTTTTTAACTGACATTGTTGGCTTTATGACCAAGTTCAGTACAAAGCTTGAAAGTATTGGCAAAGAACCTAATTTAATAGGCTTTATTTATTCAAACTAGAAATTAATTTTATTGTTTGTGAATGCTGTAGGATTGATAGAACTGAAAATGAAGCCTTCTGTTTATCCAGAGAGAAGCTATAACACAATTGAAGCAATGTAAACTTTCCATTCTGGCCCCACTGTATGTGTAAGAAGAAAGTTTAATTGTCTTTACTAAAAAAAAAAAAAAAAAAAAAAAAAAACAAATCAATATTTGGCCTTTCTGCTGAAAAGCTAAATCTGCTGACAAGCCTATATTTTGAAGGAATTCTGGCATTTCCACTACTGTTAGTGGGAATTTTTGGTAAGTACAGTGCAGCACTGGAAAATCCCTTTAGGACTAAGACCACAAAAACTGAGAAGCTGTGAAATTGCTGCTATGGTTAGAGTAAAATACATCATGTGGGATCAAATACTTGGAGATAGGAAAGGCTGCTGCACCTCCATTCTCCTAAGATCAAACAGTAGCCAGGCTGTGTGTAAGCACACACACACAGAGCATATATATATGTGCATGCACGCCACATTTATGCACATATGTACATGTATACATGGATACCACAGAGCTCACAGACACACACACACACAGACAACACCCGCGGTCTTATTCTGCTCCTGTTGCTGTCTGAGTAGGTTGGAAGCCCATTAGTGAGAAGATTTATACATATTTATACACATGGAAAGGTAGCTGTGACCCAGCTCCAGAAGCTGGATCAGAACATGGTCTGCCCAGTAGTTGGCATCTTTATCCCAGTTTGTCCAGTGGCTGAGTCCAGGACATACCCCTGTGACTGCAGCCCCACTCCAGTTTCTGGCCCAGATTCTCAACACTCAAATGCATTTAGCCACACCTGTTCCTTCACCAATCATCTTAATCCCTCCTTTTCCAGCCTTCGGTTCCACCCTTCTGGACAACCCCAAAAAACACTCTTACCCTGCATCCCATACTGTGTCCCACCCCTTTAACCTGAGAGGTGATGCAGAGAGAAGCTCCATCTTGATGGGTTTCACACCTGAGCAAAGGGGTTGAAGTTCTTCTGATAAAAACCTGGAAGGTGTTTGCTCCTCACAGTCAGTAATTTGTCTTCCTGCCTGCCACTGAATGTCAGAGTTTCCCTGGGATTGCAGAGATGGATCAGTGGTTCTCCTTGGTGGTCCTGGGATTAGCCCACCATGGCTTTGTTTGAGCTTCCTCTCTAACTCTGTCTCTGACTGCTCTCTCATGGATATGCCAACAGGCTGTTACCACATCATCTAACACTAGTTTTCCACCATTAAAAAAAGCCGAAATCCAGCTGACAGAATATTTCAGATGATTTTGGAAGGGTTGAGCAGTTAATGGGACTATCAGCTCTATGGCTGATTCAACTATGAATTGTGTACTTTGTGTGAAATCGCAGCAAGAAACCACCCACTCTGTGTATTCTGGTAACGCAGCAGTGCCATGGATGCTCCTGAGCCATGAGGCATGGCAGGAGTACTGTGCCCTCACTGCAGCAGACAGAATGGCTGCCCACAAGCCATCTGGGAAGCATGACCAGGGCCTGGGCCTTCCTCCCTGTCTGTACTAGCCAGCATGGACAAGAACCTTTCCTGTTACTATTTAATTCAATGTGCCATCCTGTTTCTATGCCCAGGAATGCTCCCAGTCACTGTTTCAATTTACTGTAGTGGATGTAACTGTCATAGATGTCACTGTTTTAATTTACTGGGGTAGATATAATTGTAGAGCCTCTACAACATGACCAGTCTAATTTTCATTTGTTTTAGGAAGGTGTCCCCAGCACAGCAATATGTGGCACTAATAAATGATCTCTTTTTGGTGCTCTTAGGAGACATACTGGGATTGATTGGGCATGGAAACTGAACTCCCTTTTCATTTGCAGAAGTGCACCTTCTGATTGAAGGGCTGATTCCAGCATGGGCAAGGTAGCAGAAAGAAATTTCCACTGCCAATAGCTATCATAAACCTGTTAATTTACAGCTGGGGCATTGCTGGGGAAAGGCTATTGAGACACTTACATGTTAACACATTTCCCTTTGCTCTCTGAAGATGGAGCTTAAATACACCTGCCTCAGTGCTTTTGCACTGGGTTCTTAGGATTATGCAGTAAATTGCTCTGCATGCATTTTGTCCTGTTTGTGAAGTATGCTTTTTCTGTTTATCAGTACCTGGGGAAAGTAATAGTTTAGGAAGGAGCAAGCTTGTGAGAAAGAGAGATATGAATAGAGGAGTCAGGATAAATTATGTATTTTCTTATTAGATTGAAAATGCCACGAATTTGTGATTTTTGTTATTTGCCATCTTTAGTTCGAACTCATCCTTCTAATATGAGAAAATAGAGGAATTCTAAAACCGATC